AGGCGCGTCAGGGGGGGAGCCAAGGAAGACGCAGGGAACAGCACGGGGGGACGGCTTGTCCGCAGACAAGTCGCGGACAAAAGCCCGAGATCCCCAGACACGAAACGCAGACGCATCACCAACCTTCCCCGTCCACCGCAGAGTAGGGGAGGTCTCCGGCAAGGAGACTCGGGGCTGAAGGTTGATCTGATGCGCCGCGTACTGAACCGCAAACGGCCACAGAAAATGGGGAGCAGCCGCATGAATCATGGACGTACGAGCGACGTCCATGACCATGCCAATGCGGCGCTCAGCAATCCCATTTTGCTGTGGGGAGGCGGGAAGCGTGAACGTCTGGCAGATGCCCTGTGCACGACAGAAGGCTCCCAAAAGGCCAGAGGAAAACTCTCCACCTCTGTCGGAGTGCAGACGCAGAACAGGAAAGTCTGAGCCGAAACTCTCTCTGAGCTGGAGACGAGCTGCGCGGATCCAGTCGATCAACACCTCAGTGACGTCACCCTTGCTGCGCAAGGGGAAGACTGTGGTGTAACGCGAGTAGTCGTCAACGACCAGCAGGAAGTAACGCTCGTGACCCTGTCCACGGACGCGGGCGGGGCCCCACACGTCCAGGTGAAGTGTCTGCAGCGGAGCCTCTGTCGGAGGAAACTCGGAGGAGTGAGGAGCGGCGCGCTGCCGCCCCTCGACGCAGGGAACGCAGGTAGGGGCAGGCCCCGGAGGAAGAGGAGGGAGGGACCGGGGGAGACCAGAGACAAGGACACGGGAGGCCATGCCTCGGAGACGAGGCAGGGAGGGGTGACCAAGGCGGTGGTGCCGGAGGAGAGTCTGGTGAGACAGGAGACGACACGAGCAGGGGGCAGACTCAGGACCAGACCTGGACGCTGCAGCAAACACCTGACCCGACGCAGCTACCTGACCAGACGCAGCAACCGGAGGAGACTCAGTAGTCAGTGTGTACAGGTTCGACCCCGGCTGACGGGTAAACGTGGCCAAGTGTCGGCCCGTCCGAGCACACGTGCAGTGGGTCACTCGCTGACTCGCAGGAGTGAACTGGTCAACCCCCCCATCCTGTAGATCAGCACCACTCACCAAGTTCGTAGAGAATGAGGGGAGGTAAAGACCTGACAGGGTGCCAGAAGGGGCCGTCGGACACGGTAAGACAGTGGAGAAGTGGGCAAGGACAGGACCCCCAGAGGGGTCTGCCAGGGAGACCGCAACTGGCCGACTAAGCGGCGTGAGTGTGGTGCGGTCTCGAAAGAAGGAGCGGGAAGCACCCGAGTCAAGGGTGAAGGTGTGTAAGGCCTGAGCCGACGTGGTACCTGAGAGAGCAGACTCACCAGCACCTGGGGCAGCAGACGCACCAGCACCTGGAGCAGCAGACGCACTAGCACCTAGAGCAGCAGCCTCACCAGCACCTAGAGCAGCAGTCTCAATGCCCGGGTCAGGCGGAACACACAGGTAACAATCACCCTCATCACTAGTAGGCAATGCATACATGGCAGTGAGGATAGCATCATAGTCAAGAGTATAGATATCTACCCTCAGCCTAAGCAGCTCCACCCAGTCGGGGAGCTCCGCCGCGTCGCCAAACTCCGTACGCCAGGCGTCGCTCAGACGGGCGAAGCAGCGGGACTCTGCGTGACCAAACGTCCCGCAAGGCTGACCAGTCCGAGCACCAGTGCGAATGACGTACGGACAGCGAGCATTACCCCGTGACCCTTCACGCTGAGCGTACCACTCACGAAGCTGCTGGGGCGGAAGGACCGCTCACGGACGACGCTGCAGCTGCACCTGGCCACTTCAAGCAGCTGCCGAACTACTCACTCCAGGACAACTCCCACTACGGCCACCCCGACAACCCCAAGTAGCGTACCACTCACGAAGCTGCTGGGGCGTGAGGGACTCACGCGGACGTCGCTGGAGCTGCATTTGGCCACCGCCAGGAGCAGCAGGAGCAGTGGTAGCCGCAGTAGCAGTAGCAGTAGCAATAGCAGTAGTCGCAGCGCGGCCACCCTTACAACCCAAACTAGCGTACCACTCACGAAGCTGTTGGGGGTGAGGGACTCACGCGGACGGCACTGGAGCTGCATCTGGCCACGCCAGGAGCAGCAGTAGCAGTAGAAAGAGCAGTAGCAGCAAGAGCAGCAGTAACAGCAGTACGGGCAGGGCAGTGCTCACCAGTGGCGAGAAGGGCAGGCGTACAACAGCGGCAATGGCGAGGCCGCTACCACTGTAGGGCGAGGGCTCCGCGGCTGCTCCAGGGGCGGCTGCTGCAGGGGCGGCTGCTGCAGGGGCGGCTGCTCCAGGGGCGGCTACTGTAGTGGCGGCTGCTCCAGGGGCGGCTGCTCCAGGGGCGGCTGCTGCAGGGGCGGCTGCTCCAAGGGCGGCTGCTGCAGGGGCGGCTGCTCCAGGGACGGCTGCTGCAGTGGCGGCTACTCCAGCGGCGGCTGCTGCAGGGGCGGCTGCTGCAGGGGCGGCTGCTGCAGGGGCGGCTGCTGCAGGGGTGGCTGCTCCAGGGGCGGCTGCTGCAGGGGGGGCGGCTACTGCAGTGGCGGCTGCTCCAGGGGCGGCTGCTTCAGGGGCGGCTGCTGCAGTGGCGGCTGCTCCAGGGGCGGTTGCTGCAGGGGCGGCTGCTCCAGGGGCGGCTGCTCCAGGGGCGGCTGCTGCAGCGGCGGCTGCTCCAGGGCGCGGGTTAGGGCAGGGCGCCGCGGCGGGCAGGGGTGACGCCACGTGGGTCCCGCAGGGGCGTCGCGACGAGGCGGGGGCGACGCGCGGGTCCCGTTGAGGCGTCGCGACGAGGCAGGGGCAATGGGGCGGGGCCGCGACTGGCGACGGGGCGGGGCCGCGACTGGCGACGGGGCGGGGCCGCGACTGGCGACAGGGCGGGGCCGCTACGGGCAGCGGGGCGGGGCCGTGAAGGGGCCGCGAAGGGGCCGCGAAGGGGCCGTGAAGGGGCCGCGAAGGGGCCGTGAAGGGGCCGATAAGGGGCCGTGAAGGGGCCGTGAAGGGGCCGCTAAGGGGCCGCGAAGGGGCCGCGAAGGGGCCGCTAAGGGGCCGCGAAGGGGCCGTGAAGGGGCCGCGAAGGGGCCGCTAAGGGGTCGCGAAGGGGCCGTGAAGGGGCCGCGAAGGGGCTGCTAAGGGGCCGCGAAGGGGCCGTGAAGGGGCCGCGAAGGGGTCGCGAAGGGGCCGCTAAGGGGCCACGAAGGGGCCGCTAAGGGGCCGAGACGGGCCTCAGGAGCAGGGCAGGCCACTAAGGGGCCGCGAAAGGGTAGGGCAGGTCAGAGCGCGAGGCGCGCTTCGGGCAGGTTAGGAAAAAAAAAAAAATTTAATGGTGGGCCCTTAGGAAGAAACGGTCCCACTAGGGAACCTGCTCTATACCATGTGGAAATAACGAGGAATGAATGCACTAGGAAACAGGTGGGTACAAGTAGGAAAAGCTAAAAGTGTTGTACCCCATATTGTCAACCCCACTACAGCCTACACAGACTATAGCATATAAGTTTGACACACTGATCCTCCGTGTGGTGCGGGACCTCGAGGCCGCATGGTGCGGCGGATCAGAAAATGGACAGTTCACCTGACACATAGGGTTCGAGGAAGATTCCTCTGGTGGAAAATGTCAGCATTAAAAGGGGTGTTCGGCTGGCATTCCATTATTGTCTGGTTTGGCGATGATCCGCTGATATCGAGCCTAGATAACCTTTCACGTGCTTATCAAAGAAGGTTCTAGGGTGGTCGGTTTACTGTAGCCCATCTCCCGAGGCCATTTTTTTAATGCCTGCCGAACCGGGCCTAATAGGGTGATTTCCTTCAATGCGTGTATTGGTGTAAGTAATGTTTGAATCTCCCGCAAGGTTTCAGATGGTGTCTCAAATGTCTGAGTCCATGTGGGTCCGGCTCGGACCTGACGGACCAGCTCAAGAACCAGCGTGTGAACCAGGGCGGACCGGGACCAGGATGTGGGGCTTGTAACCCCGTTATACCGTTCGAATGGCACTAAAACGGTGCCATTTATTTGGCCCTCCAGACCAGTCCGCGCCTGGTCCGTAAACAGTGGGTGGGCAAACATTTGTTTTGGCGAAATTTCTTGCTTTGTAAGTTCCGCGCAAGATTTTTGTGCAGACGAAGAAAATAGGTAACCCAATTTCAAATTCGTCGCTGCTGCTGCATCTCGCAAATACTGTGCAGCCCGAAGCGCGACGCATCAGGCAGACCAGTCCGTGTCTGGTCCAACGCTGGTCCGCCAAGTGGGTCCGTCGGACCAGAACCCTGGACCAGGCGTATAGATTCTGGTCGCGGACCAGATCCAGCGGACCCTTCACATGAGACACATCCTCAACACCTTTGTTCTTATTGCTGCTTAGGACGCGTGCAAATATCGCAGGATCGTCTGCATATATCGATCCCCACAATCGAGTGAGCAGATCGTTTGGCGAAACGTGGCGACCGCGGCGTTGTAACGATCGCGGCTCAAAATTGACAGATTTCCCGCGAACAGTGATCAATCGCATCTCACACTGTACAGAAATTTTGGCCAGAAAGCATATTGTAGCATAGTTACAACAAAGTTAATAGGGTAACCGATCTGCGCGTCGATCGCTACTAAGGATAGATCGTCTACTTTCACCGCGTCCTTATATGTGAGGGCGCATTCCTAGATAGGTTCTGAGACAGGTCGTAGGCTCCTAGTCTCTGATTTGTCTCTTCTGGAAATTGATTTGCCCCTATTCTGAGCCACTTCGGGTCTTCCGAGCCTCCACTTCGTGTCTGACAGAGATGGAACCTGAGTTCCATGTCCTCCCTTCCATGCTCTTCCTTCAACATGTGAAAGTAACACTATCGGTTACCACACTTGAGCAAAGGAGCTACTTGTGAGGTATAATTCCGGTCGTACATCCGCTACATAGTTGTAGTACCTAAGATTGATATCCACTTTTGACATTTCCTGGTATAAAGAAATCATACGTGACGCCATGCGTCTATCCAATACGACGATCATCGTCATGGTAGCCGGCGTCGGTGCCGCTATTGCCTCTCTCTACAGTCACTTTCGACAGTATCGATCTTTCTATGACGACGGCACGCGCTTCGCCTGGACTCGCGTTTTAACGAATTTCCAGGCGGTTGCGGAGGCCACGCTCCTAGCAGCGTCTGTGTCGATTCTGTTAGCGCTGACGGCTGACTGGCTACTCCTGCCGGTCCGGCATCTCAGGATACTCGCCTCGCATATAATTCGACCACCGTCCGAATCAGGCGAGACGGGATACGCGTTACTAGTGGGGTCGGTATATGTCCACACATCCGCGCGCTAATCAATTCCTTTCAAGCCTGCGTACTTCTTTGAACAGCTAACCTGTTTTCCGCGAACCTGTCGCGAATTTCGGGTTCGCGGACTTTTACATCAGCGTAAATGAGCGAACATAATTTTCGCGAGATTGCTTCACGGTGACCGTCGATCTTCCATCCCGCCGGCCTCGGAACCCCCTGCGCAGCAGGTGCGGAGCAGTGGTGGTTCTTGAAAATTTTACCAAATCGCTCGTGAGAGAGCGGTAGCAGCGAATTCTTTAGCGAGCTGTTACTTTAAACGATCTCGTCGTCGATCGTTAATTGTCGCCTCCCCCTTCCCCCCTCCCCCTTTCCCCCGCCCCCCACCCTTCCCCCCTCACCCCTCCCTCCCCACTTCTCCTTTTCCCCTCCGTACAGCAGGGGCGGAGCAGCGAGAGGAGGCGGTGGTGGGCGTGAGGGAGCGGCAGCAGCGGCGACTGGAGGAGGAGGCGAAGGCTGCAGCTGAGGAGCGGGTGAGTGGCGCGAGGTGGGCGGGTAGGGGGAGTGGGGAGGGGGGAGGGAGTTAGGGCAAGAGAAGGGAGCGCACGGGAAGGAGAAGGAAGGGAGCGCACGGGAAGGAGAAGGAAGGGAGACAGCAGCAGCGACTGGACGAGGAGGCGCAGGCTGCTGCTGAGGAGCGAGTGAGTGGCGCGATGGGGACGGGTGTGTGTGGGTGGGGAAGGGGGCGGGGGGGGGCGTGGGTTGGGAAAGGGGAGAGGGGAGGGAGAAGGGGGGAGAGGGAGAGGGGAGGAGGGAGGGGGGAGCGGGAGGGGGAGGGGGGATTTAGGAGGAAGGGGGAGCGGGAGAGGGAGGGGGGATTTAGGAGGAGGGGGGGCCGGGGAGGGGGAGGGGGGATTTAGGAGGGGCATTCACATGCGGTTATATGCACACGCACAGCTACATGCACACGCACAGCTACATGCACACGCATATCTACATGCACACGCATATCTACATGCACACGCATATCTACATGCACACGCATATCTACATGCACACGCATATCTACATGCACACGCATGTCTACAGGCATGCGCCGTTACAGGCATGTGTAGTGTAGTTACAGTCACATGTGGTTACAGGAATGTGCGCCTTGAAATCTCCACCAGCTTGCGATCACGGCCCCAGGCGCAGCATGCTTTTATTCTTTTATTCTCTTCCGGTGGACTTGCCTCAATCTGAATCCTTGTTCATCCGCTGCAATGCAATCCACAGGCGCGCGTGCAGGCACGGCAGCGGGACGAGGCGCGGCAAGCAGCGGTGGCAGCACTAGAGGCGAGCCGAGGCCACTCACTGCGATCCAGAGGGGGAGGGGTAAAGTCTGAGGGGGACCCGCAGATCAAAGACCTTGGAACGGAGGGAGAAGGGGGAGGAGAAGTGGGAGGAGAAGGGGGAGGAGAAGGGGGAGGAGAAGGGGGGGGAGAAGGGGGAGGAGAAGGGGGAGGAGAAGGGGGAGGAGAAGGGGGAGGAGAAGGAGGAGGAAGAGCAGAGGTGAACGAGGGTGTGGTGGGTGCAACGGGTGATCTGGGAGGGGGCAGCGGGGCGCATGGCAGCAGCAGCGGGTATGAGGTTGCTGGGCTTGTGAGACGGCGCAGGGGAGGAGGGGGGCAGGAGGGAGGGAGAGAGGACGAGGAGGGGGAAGAGGGGGAAGAAAGGGTTGGAGGGGAAGGAGGGGTTGGAGGAGAACGAGGAGAAGGCGGGGAGATGAGGGGTGGTGTGATGGGAGGGCGACTGGGTGTGGAGGGTGGAGGGTGGAGATCAGCTGCATCGCTGGAAGCAGAGAAAGAGAGGAAGAGGCAGGTATGGCGAGTGGAGTGCAGGTAGGTGTGGTGCGGTGCAGGCAGGTACGGTGCAGTGATTTATGAGTCAAGTTGACAGTCGAGGGCAGAGGATGGAGGGTGGCGGTCAGTTGCATCTCGAGGAGCAGAGAAGGAGAGCAAGAGGCAGGTATGACGAGGGGAGTGCAAGTAGGTGTGGTGCGGTGCGTGCAGGTATGGCGAGGAGAGTGCAGGCAGGTATGCGGAGGGGGGTGTTGGTAGGTATGCGGAGGGGGGTGTTGGTAGGATATGCGGAGGGGGGTGTTGGTAGGATATGCGGAGGGGGGTGTTGGTAGGTGTGCGGAGCTGACTTTGCATTGCAGGCTCGCTGGATTGATTTCGGAGATTGAGTTCGCCGTAGCATTCTACCGAGCTGACTTTTGAGTCGACTCAAAAGTCATTTCATAAGTATCCGTGCAGGCACTTGCATTGTACGACTCAAAGAACCACCTTCTTTTCCTCATCCTCTCCCCACCTCCCTCAGGATGCAGCCTTTGCAGCCTCGTTGCGACGGGATAGGGCGATAGAGGAGAGGCGGAGAGTGGAGGAGGAGAAGAGGAGGAGAGAGGCGGAGGAGCAAGAGCGGATCAAAGAAATGGAGAGAGGAGCAGAGGAGCAGAGGCGAAAGGAGGAGGAGGAGAGAAGCAGAGCAGAGGAAGAGAGGAAACGGAAAGAGGAGGTGAGAGGAATTGCCAGTTTAGAGAATTGAACATGCCACTCATGAGCAGAAGAGAATATGAGCAGAAGAGTTCTTTAGCTCTCTCTCATGGTAGACAACGGAAAGAAGAGCAGAAAAAATTCAAGGCGCCTCAAAAGTTGTGAGCTGCCTCAAACGTCATGATAGAAATAGACAAAGGAGCAGAAGACTGCCAAGATTCCTCAGGCAACATATCCTTTGTTCTGTGTCGTTGTTATTCGTTTCTTCTGCTTGCCACCAGGAACGCAGGGAGCACTACAGACGATTGCTGCCACCTGAGCCGGGAGCTGACGTGGCGAGCGAGGAGAGGGCGGTGGTGGCGGTGCGGCTTCCAGACGGGATGGTGTGCAGGCGGGAGTGGCGGAGAGCAGACACTGTGGGGGACGTCTATAACTGGGTGCGTGCATGAGGGTGCGTGAATGTGTGTGCGGGCATGAGGGTGCGTGAATGTGTGTGCGGGCATGAGGGTGCGTGAATGTGTGTGGGATACATGTAGGAGATGCGGGACATGTGCGTGCGTGTGAGAGACGTGTCTGCAACTGGTGAGTGCGTGTGTGGGTGGTGCCTATGCCAATATGCATGTGTGGGAGGGAGTGGAGCAGAGCAGCAGGCTGGGTGAGGGACGTGTATGAGGGAGGATAGGGTGGTGGTGGGAACGGTGTGCAGGCGGGAGTGGCAGAGAAGAGAGCAGACATGGTGGGGGACATCTAGAACTGGGTGTGCGGTGGTTAGAACAAGATGGGGTGCGTGCGTGGTGACTGGAACGTGTGTTTTGAGTCGACGCACATGCAGATTCTGAGGCTTCTGAGGATTCGGAGGATTCTACTGTTCTTTAGTATTCCGAGAAGTCTCAAACCTCCACACACTCCCACACAACATCCTCCTCCCTCCACTTTGTCTGATGCAGCTTTTGAGAATTCTCAAAAGTGCCTCCCTTGCGGCCTCAATAATCAACCAACACTGCATCCTGCTCCTCATTCAACCCTTCCATAGCTCTCCCCCGCTCCTCTGCCCCCTCCCCACGCCCCACCAAACCCCCCACCTGTTTCCCCTGCTCCCCTCCCCCCATTTCCCCCCACCCACCGCCCAAACCCCCTGACCTGCTACAGCAGCACACACTCCCCCAAAAGGACCTCCTCCCCTTCCCCCTCTCGCGCGCCTCTCTAGCCACCACCTTCCCACGCCGCCTGCTGCCCCTCGCCTCCTCTGCTGCCCTCCATGTGGACTTGCAATGGAGAGGTCACTCTTAAAGATGGGGTAGACAGCCGGAACTGTGTGTAATGCCAACCCTCCATTTCCCCTGCTCCCCTCCCCCCATTTTTCCCCCCACTCCCCGCCCATTCCCCTGACCCATTTCAGCTGCACACGCTCCCCCAAAAGGACCTCCTCCCCTTCCCCCTCTCCCGGGCGGCTCTCACCACCACCTTCCCCCGCCGCTTGCTGCCCCGCGCTGCCTTTGTCTCCATCTCCCTAGCGCATGCAGACCTGTGCCCACGAGCAGTGCTGGTGGTGGAAGAGGAGGTGAACGAGAATGAGAACGAGATTGAGGGAGAGGGGTCTAGGGTTGTGTAGTGCCTTGGCCGACCCATCACCCTCTGCTGCCCCGCGCCTCCTCTGCAGCCGTCGCCCTAGAGCAGGCAGACCTGTGCCCACGAGCAGTGTTGGTGGTGGAAGAGCAGATGCAGGGGGGTGAGAGTGAAAAGGAGGGCGAGGGACAGGGAAATGAGAGTGAGGGCGAGGGTTTTAGGCTTCTGTAAATCCTCTTCAATCTCATCACCCTCTGCCTGCAGCCGTCTCCCTAGAGCAGGCAGACCTGTTTCCACGAGCAGTGCTGGTAGTGGAAGGGGAGGTTGATGAGAATGAGGGAGAGGGGCAGGGGAATGTGAGAATGAGATTGGGCGGGCAGAGGAACGAGAATGAGGGCGAAAAGGCGGGAAAATGTGGGGGAAGGGCAGCGGTATGAGGGCGAGGCGAAGCTGTATGAGGGCGAAAGGGCGAGAAAATGTGGGGGAAAATGGCTCATCTCGCTTAACAATTGTCTATCCAGATTGCCGCTTTTTTTTATTATTAGGGCGGGGGAGAAGGGGTGGATGTGGGGGGGTGGGAGGATGGAGGGGAGGGGGCACTCGTTCTTTTATCCCCGGGGCCGCTACTCCAAACATATTTCTTTATTAGAAATATGGAGGAAAAAACAGTGTGTACAGAAGAATATTAGGGTTTAGCCTCGGTGCCCAACCCCTGTGTGTACATACTTCTAAACCCTAAGGGATTGCAAGCTAAAAAAAAACAACAAACAAAACAAGAGGTGACGAAATCAGGCCCTCAGATTCACTTTTAGACACGTAAGGGTATCAGGGTCCCTCTGCCCCTAGACCCTGATCGTCAGGGTTGCCTAAAAAAAAAACCTGAAAGTTCAGTGTTACTTTTTAAACAAGTCTGATGCATCAGTGTTCCCTACAGAAAAAGCCTGATACTAATAGGCTTTATTTTAAGTTAAAAACACTAGGAAGTAAGCAAACAGCCTTCAATCTTTCAATCTGTCTGTGTTGTAAACCAAAGCCTATGTTGCTATGCTATGCTAGCTAGCTAGCTATGCAATACAAGGCATCAAGCAAGCATGACATGACTTTGGGTCTGGTCTGGGAGAGTTCAGTTCAGTATTCATCATCAGATGATGCTTGCCTGTCATCATCATCTCTTCCCTTAGCCTCTCGTTCTTCCAACTCCTCCTCCTCCTCTAGGGCCACCTTTCTGTCAGAATCCCAGCCACTAGACCACTGGGATAAAAGGGCTTGTTAAGTAGCGGGTCAGTGCGCCCATAACCCCCCAGGACAACGAGCATGTAACCCTTCCCTAGGATCAATCGGGGATCACCAGTGGACCTCTGACACCCCCCCGCACTGGGATGCCCGAAGTGCACACACCGGGATTCGAACCCGAGACCTTCGCTCTGATACCATGTCAGAATCCCAACCACTAGACCATTGGGATAAAAGGGCTTGTTTGTGTAGCGGGTCAGTGCGCCCATAACCCCCCAGGACAACGAGCTTGTAACCCTTCCCTAGGATCAATCGGGGATCACCAGTGGACCTCTGACACTTTCCCTTGCTACCACCACTGCCCTCCCCCTCTCTTGCTGGTGGTGCCGCCACATTCCCGAATGGGCGGCGCTTCTTGTAGCTGCGCCAGATCTGCACCACCTCATCGTAGTTGGGCTCGTACTCGAGTAGAGACATCGTGATGAGGTCTTCGAGGCGGGCGTCCTTCAAGCTCCCCCGCTGCCACGATTTGATAACGTTCTGGAGTGAGAAGCCGCGCTCACACTCCACTGTGCTCAGCGGCAGCACGGCGACATCCACCCAGAGACGCACCAGATTGGGGTAGCTAGTCGCCCAGTCGCTTGTCTTGAGCATTGCTGTTAGGCCGGCGTGGAAGTTGCGCTCGTTCTTCGGGGCACCTGTGAGGATGGGGCAGAAGGCACGCAGCTCCTTGATCGCACGCCGCTTGTCGACCCCTGCCACATAAGGCGGAAGGGAGAGAGAGGGGGAATTAGAAAGGCTGGCGTCTTTTGTAGGGGAGGGACATAGAGGCTCGTCGATGGGTTCAAATGGAATATCGACGGGCGGCGCCTTTCCATGGTTATCAACTGCTGCAAAATTGGAGAACAGCAGATCCAGTCCGGTGACAGCACCGGACAGATCAACAGGCGCACGACGATCAGCTTCATCGCCGTGGTCACCACTTTGTTCAATGGCGTCTGGGTGGTCCGCCATTGATTGCAGCTCGACCAAGCAGCATCTAACAGGACTAACGAGCTCGCCTAACGATAGAGGTTTGCCAGGAAGAGAGAACACACGGCTGACTGCCTCTTGGTACACAAGGCAGCAACGCGATGAAACCCCAAGCAGTTGGATGGAAGGCCTGGAGCAGAACGGGATGTGAGGCTGGATGGCAGGTAGCACGGTGGGAGGTTGGATGCTTGCCAGCACGACCTAGACAGCCAGAATCCCTTGCAGCGCAGCCTGCCAGCATCGCTGTGCTGCAACCTTGTAATTGGTCAAGTCACATAATGTTGCAAATGTGGCCAATGAACGGACCAGGCGCGCCAACTAAGGGGCCATCAGTGTGGGCAAAATTGTCCGATAGTAAACGACAGGCCCTGCTGACACCGCGGGAATCTGATTTTCCCAGTACTTCCAGTCAAGTACACTCGTACCTAGTAGGATTCGCTTTCAGGGACAAACTCGTTACAACGTTAAGGCATCAGTGTCACTTCAAAAAAATTGCTGAAAGTTCAGAGTCATGTGACATGTGAAGGCTGAAAAATCAGCCCTAGGAAAAGCTGAACACTGGATTTTCAGGGTAGGTAAAAAAAAAACCATGTAAATCAGGAATTTCAGGGTAAAATTCCTGATATCGTAGGGCCTGGACGAAATCGTCTAGGGTTGCGAAGCATTTAGTTAAATGTTCATTTACTATTGTAATATTTGTTTCAATGATCTTGTTTACAACAGAGGCAACTAATGTAGGGGATACTTGTTGATTTGAAAATGGCAAAATTCCCGACTGACGCAATGTCCTAACCCGCGACCGTATAATTCATAGGCTATACGAAACCGACTATGCTAGAGAAACTGCAAATTCTAATGTTCGTAATTTAAACAGCGATAGTCATTTTGACAAAAATCAATGGCATCTAGGGTTTGTAAATCTCTTTCTCGCTGGTGTCGTCATGCCACTCCAATCACTTCCGTTACTCCCAGCTCCTCCCCGCAGTTCCTTCACCTACTTGTACTCCAGCTTCTAAGGTGAGCTTTCTAGGGACTAGATAAAAGTTTACGTACTAAAGTCAAGATAATGTATACGATCTTCTCTAGTTTTTCACAGAAGTACCTCGTGGTAGGTCATTTTAGACGAAGTTTTATGATTACTATGTAGATTACAGAGCATCATCGCGTCTCTCTTCTTGTCGAGCTTTCTCGCTCGTCCCCCTCCTCCTCGTCCGTCCACCTCTTTCTCTTGTCCGCCTATCTTTGTATCTCCTTACTCAAGTTCTTCTACATCCCCTGATTTTAACCGTGATTTTTTTGGCATTGTCTCTTCATCTGATCTTTCCTTTTGTTTCTTCTTTTCGCTTATCCTTGATCGTATTAAATGTCGTGAGAAAGCTCAGAGCTCGCAGAAAAGTTGTCCGTCTTATTCAAACTTTGTGACAGCAATATTTTTGGCAAATCCGAGTGGAACACTCAATAGAAGACATTAACAGATTTCTCTTGTTATTGTCTGCCTTTGTTTCTTTGCTTAATTTATGTCGTAGCATTATGTCGTATTCATGTATCTGTTTATGTCGCTGTACAAGGGCAACAACCCAAGATGCTACGTCGTTTTGATTTGTTGAAAGCCGTAGATTATTGAAGCCGTAGTTGTTAGAATACTAGTTACAGTGCAGGAGCCATAGCTAGGGTTTAGCTAGCTACGCAAGAGAGAATAGGTAAAAGAAGGGTTTGACTAACAGTCAGTTTGGTACATATAGGAAACCCTAAAGGGCTGTACTCACTATTGAGTACCCCACTACAGGCTAGACAAGCATAATATTCTGACACACCCCCATAGTCAAAGTGGGATATAAACAGCACAGCAAGCAGTCATAGAGCAGGTTCACAAGTACAAGCAAAGCTAGAGGCATTCACAGAGGGCAAGTGAGGAGGAGGAGTGACTATGAGAGGAGAGAAGCTGGTGGGCGGCAGCTGAAGTTACTGGCACACGGCGCAACTGGAGCAACTGGCACACGGACAACTGGAGCAACTGGCACACTGGCAACTGGAGCAACTGGCACACGGGCAATTGGAGTAACTGGCTCTGCGGCTAGACGAGCGGCAGGAGCAACTGACCCACGGGCGACTGGAGCAACGGGCTCACGTGCAACTGGAGAGACGGGCTCACAGGCGACTGGTGCAACGGTCTCACGGGCGACTGGAGCTGCTGGCTTCACGGCGACCACCCCCCCTTCAACCTCCCCTAACAGTCCCACACCCCCTTCTCACACACCCCCTTGCTGCACCACTAGCTCCACTCCACGACACCCCCCTAGCGCCACTCCCTCGGCTCCCACACACCCACCCCCCCACAGCGGCAACTGCAGCACTGGGAGACGGAGTAGGAGGAGGATCAGGGAACGGCTCACACACCCGCCACCCTCAGAATCGGCACCGCGCAGTTGCACAAGGGCAGGGAGTGGCGCGCGGCTCCACAGGGCAGCACGCGCGGGCTGCAGGGGCGGCTCGCGTGCTGATGGGGCGGCTCGCGGACTGTAGGGGCGGCTCGCGAGCTGCAGGGGGGGCAGCGCGCGGGCCCCCCGAGAGCGCCACGGCGGGTGACGGGAGGGGGCGACGCGCGGGCCCCCAGGGCGCCGCGACGAGGCGACGGGAGGGGGCGACGCGCGGGCCCCCAAGGCGCCGCGACGAGGCGACGGGAGGGGGGCGGTGTGCGGGCCCCCAAGGTGCCGCGACAAGGCGACGGGAGGGGACGGCGCGCGGGCCCCCAGGGCGCCGCGACAAGGCGACGGTAGGGAGCGACGCGCGGGCCCCATTGGCACCGCGACGAGGCGACGGAAAGGGGGGGGGGGGGGGGGGGGGCGGCGCGCGGGTCCCTGGGGGCGCCTCGACGGACGACGGGGGGCGACGCGCTGGTCGACGGGGCAGGAAACCGCCGCGCGCCCGCCATGCGCCCCGAGCGCGTGGCGAGAAGAAAAAACGTCGCGCGCCACGGGGCGCGCGATAGACAGGACAGCAGCGGAAGCTAACGGTGGGCCCACAGGCCAGGAGCGTAACCGCTCTGATCGCATGTTAGAATACTAGTTACAGTGCAGGTGCCATAGCTAGGGTTTAGCTAGATAGACAAGAGAGAATAGGTAAAAGAAGGGTTTGACTAACAGGCAGTTTGGTACATATAGGAAACCCTATA